TTGTTAACAGCCACATTAGAAACTCCATGGTGTGGGTAAACATTGTTTATTTAACCAGTATTCTATAAATAGACTTCAAATTGTTTCCATTTTTTCACAAATCTGAAGAAAGCCTGTCCTCGTGAACACATGCAAGTTTTTTTTTCTAAAGCTGTGCTATCATATATGATACCAATTAGTCACATGTGGCTATTTAAATTTAAATTTTTGTTAATTAAAATTAAATAAAATTAAAACTTTAGTTCCTCATCAATCTAGTGTTATTTCAAATGCTCAGTGGGGCTGCTGTATTGGGCAGCACTGATATAGAACATTTCCATTATCACAGAAAATTTTTTGAATTGCAGTGTGCTAGAGTGTAAGTAAAATTCCTGGACCATAGGGTATAGACATTTTAATTTCAGTAGATATTTACAGATTGCTCTCCAAAATGAATGTCATTCACATTTACCCCCAGGAATAAATGCAAGTACTAATTTCCTCTTTCCCACATCAACATTTAATATTGTAGATTTAAAACAGTTTTGCTAATAATTTGGTAAAAATGGTATCTCACTTTATTTGATACTTTGCTGATTAGAGGTTGAACATCTTTCTAGTATGTTTTTAGGCCATTCAGGTTTTTCCTTTTCTAGAATTACCTGTTTATATTTTTTGCCTGTTTTTCGATTGTCTTATTTTTAATACAGTTGTATTTATTTTTAATATATTTTGTACTCTATTCCTTTGCATTATGTGTTGTAAAAGTCTTTTCACAGTCTATGGCTTGTCTTTAAACTTTTATATAGGTGTTGTTAATTTGTATATAGTCTAGTTTTTCTGTCTTACACTTTTCCTGATATGGTTTCTGCTTTGTTTAACAAGTTTCCTATTTCAGGGTCATAAACATAATCTCTTATATTTTAATACTTTTAAAACTTTGGTTTGATGTTTTTTCCTTTCCCATTTTGATCCTTCATCTACATGTAATTTATTTTTGCAATGGGGTGAGTTAGGGTTGAACTTTTTTTCCCCTCTCAGTATGAATAAGCAGTTTTCTGATTACCATTTATTAACCTGCCCTTTATTTTCTTAAAGGTTGTCCTGGGGATTACAAGTAGCTTAATAACTTAAAACCATGTAGTTCAGATTAATAGCAGCTTAATTCAATAATATGCAAATTCTTTGCCCCAATATACCTTTGTTCTCTTTTCCTTCTTTGTATTGCTGCTGTCAAATTATGTCTTTATACAACCCATAAATACAGTTTTATAATTACTGATTTATGTAATTGTCTTTTAAACAGATAGAAGAAAAAAAGTTACAAATAAAAATGTGTGTGTTGTCTTTTTCATAATACTTACATTTTTGCCTTTACTGGTGCTCATTTTTCTTTGTGTGGATTTTAGTTACTATTTAGTGTCCTTTCATTTCAACCTGGAAGACTTTCTGATATTTTTGGAGGGCAGGTTTTTTTTTTNCTTTATTTTCTTAAAGGTTGTCCTGGGGATTACAAGTAGCTTAATAACTTAAAACCATGTAGTTCAGATTAATAGCAGCTTAATTCAATAATATGCAAATTCTTTGCCCCAATATACCTTTGTTCTCTTTTCCTTCTTTGTATTGCTGCTGTCAAATTATGTCTTTATACAACCCATAAATACAGTTTTATAATTACTGATTTATGTAATTGTCTTTTAAACAGATAGAAGAAAAAAAGTTACAAATAAAAATGTGTGTGTTGTCTTTTTCATAATACTTACATTTTTGCCTTTACTGGTGCTCATTTTTCTTTGTGTGGATTTTAGTTACTATTTAGTGTCCTTTCATTTCAACCTGGAAGACTTTCTGATATTTTTGGAGGGCAGGTTTTTTTTTTATCTGGAAATGTCTTAATATTTCTTTTATTTTAAAGGAGATTTTAGTTGAATACAGACTTCTTGGTTGAGTTTTTTTCTCCAAAATTTTGATATCTCACTGTCTTTTAGCTTCCATGGTTTCTGTTGAAAAGTTAGCTGTCAATCTTGTTGAAGTTCCCTTGCATATGTTGTTTTTCTCCTGCTGCACAACTTTCAAGATTTTCTTTTTGTGTTTGACTTTCATCAGTTTGACTCTGATGTCTTTTGATAGGGCTTTTTTTTAGTTTATTCTACTTGGAGTTTGATGAGTTTCTTGAAAGTTTAGATTTATATTTTTCATCAAGTTTGGGTAGTTTTAAGCCGTTATTTCTCCAAATTATTTTTCTGCCTCTTTTCACATTTTGAGACTCCTCTTATGCTTGCTTTGGTACATTTGATATTTCCACAGTTCTCTGAGGCTCTGTTCATTTTTCTTCATTTTCTTTTCTTTCTGTTCCTTACAGTGGATAATCTCTTTTGACCTCTCTTCAAGTTTGCTATTTATTGCAGCTCAGATCTGTTGTTGAGTCCCTCTAGTGACTTTTATTTCAGTTATTATGCTTTTAACTTAAGAATTTCTCTTTGGTTATTTTTTATAATTTCTCTTTATTGATATTCTCTATTTGGTGACTCATCATTGTAATACTTTAATTATTTAGACATGGTTTCCCTTAGTTCTCTGAATATATTAATAATAGCTGATTTAAAGTTTTTTTCTACTAAGTCCAAAATCTGGGTCTCCTCACAGATATTTTCTGTTAGTTGCTTTTCTCTTTGTATATGAATGGCATACTTTGCTGTTTCTTTGCATGTCTCATAAGTTTTTGATGAAAACTGAATATTTTAGATAATATATTTTAACAACTCTGGTATCAGATTCCATCACTCCTCCTACATTTGTTGCTCCTGGTGTTTTTGTTGTGGTGGTAGTGTTTTTCTACTTGTAAGTCTTTCCTGGACTAATTAAGTAGATATATTTCCTACAGTGTGTGGTCAGTGATTTCTCTGCTAGCTTTTTAAGTTCTCTCGTGAAATTTTTACCTGGCTTCTTAGTGGTCACACCTGGACCAGTGTAATCTAGTGGGTAGCCAATGATTAGTAAGAAGATTTCTTTAAATTCCTTGCATGTAAGTCTTCCACTTTTGCTGAAAGGATCTTTGTGAGAAAGCTCACCTTCAAACTTTAGGCAGTTTACAAGACAGCCTCAGCTTTCACTTCTTGCTTGTGCAGGGTTTAAGGGCAGTGAGAGATGAATGACTGGTGATTTCTCCTTTATCAGGTGTTTGTTGGGCAAGAAAACAGCTTGTGTGCAACTTTTACATCTCCAGGAATATGTTAGCAGTTTGCAAAGCTCCTTATGGTAGTCTACTTCTCCAAGATTTCTCTTTAATTCTCAGTCAGGCTCTTGTTTGCCTCAACTGAAATCACAGCTTTCAGCTGCTGAGATACTGCTAGGAATTTGCCATCGTTCTGGTAATGCCCTGGGTCCTACCCTCACCCCGCAAAGTTGAGCTAGGCTCTAAGATCACATTACTGAGAAGAGAGATTTTTCCAGGGAACTGTAAGTTTGGACTAAATATTGATTGTGATCAGATCTGATCTCTCCATTGTCTGTAGTCCTGCTGGCTTTTGGCTACTTTGCCCATGGGCTGGGGAAGGAGGTGGAATGGGAATAGCCCCAAGTTAAAACATCAAAGATCCTGCTGTCTTACCAAGGTTTAGTAATTTCTCTTGGATGGATGATTTTCAGTTCGTTCTGTGGCTTTGATTAATGGCCAGAGTTCTGAAATGGTTGTTTTTAGTTGTTTTTCCTGTATTTTTGTTATTTTAGAGGAGAGGTAGTTCACCAAGGTCCTCTCTCCTCCATTCTGGAAGGTGATCTTCCCATAGAGATGGATTTTTCATTTAATCAAGTGTTGGATTTGATTTACTGGTATTTCTAATTTTTGCAAATGTAAGTGATATTTTTGAATTCGGCAACATCCAGTCTTTTCTGTGCTTCGGAATAGCTTGTATAAGGTGTTTCTTGATGGTTTAGTAGTTTTTAGGTATGCTATAGAGAGGATTCTGCATTCTTTTGTGTTTGGCTCTTTTAACCTGCTTTAATGTAATTTTACTCATCCTTTTACCGAATGCAGCAGCTTCCCGGCCTCTGCCTCAATGTGACCATATGCATATATCTTGATGAATCTTTCTTAGTGTATGTAATAGTACTTTGCAAAATTTTGGCCAAGATTTTTGTTTGTGTTGTTTACTGCTTTGTCAACCCAGTGCCTAGAATGGTGCCTATAGCATATTATGTTCGAAATAAATATTTCTTGAATTAATGAATAACATTATCTAATCTCTTCAAATATTTCTGTGTTCTTCCAGTCAGTACCATATTTATTTTTCCTGGAAGTTCTGTCAGTTCTCTCTGTTTTTATTTCCTTCTTGTACTCCCTAGTGGGAACTCAGTTAGGATTGTTTTAATGAATCTATAACACTTTTTACAAGTAAATGTTTACTGAATTGAGTCTGGGTTTAAAGCTTTTCACTAGTACCATTATTATTGTAACCATTTATATAATAGATTTTTACATACTTTTCATTTTAATACTCTTTGTTTTCTAGGCCATGGACACAGTCATTCCCTCTTTAATGGTGCTCTGGATCAGGCACATGGCCATGTAGATCATTGCCATAGTCACGAAGTGAAACATAGTGCTGCACATAGCCATGACCATGCTCATGGACATGGGCACTTTCATTCTCATGGTGAGTACAGCCTAAAGACTCTTAAATGGACAGTCTTACAAATAAATAGGAATTGTGTATTGCTATTCCTAGTTGAAATAGTCTATTAAAGGGATGCTGCAATCAACTTCGTTTCTAATGAATCAATATAAGTGGTTCCCAGGACTAGTTCATTTTTAGTATATCATGAAATTATCTTGTTATAAGGCAATGGATATAGTTTTTTTAATCAGTGAGTATATCATAATAAAATGTCACTATTTTAAATGACTGTCAGTGAACGAGGAACAATTGCAATTTAGCAAATGAAAATGATGATTTTTTAAATATGAAGCTTTTTGTGCTATACAGGCTTATAAAATTACAATAGAGGTTTTCAGTTTTTCATATTTTTATTGTAATATTTTATGTTTATTGCTTGACATTTACCTCCATGTTTCTTTAAAAATTTTTATGTTAACTTATATAGCATTAGGTACTAAGTTATAAGGTATTTATCAACTTAATATTTTATTTTAAAACATGTTAAATAGTTTACTTATGAATTTCAGAGTATAGATGAATAGAAGCTGCTTAAGTGACAAAACTTGATGAATCTTTAAATAGATTGTATGCTTAAATATTATCCGTGCTTGCCACATAGACAGAATCTTAAAGCTTTAGATTTGAAAATATGAAAGGGCCTTGGAAATTGAGTGTTCTAAGCCCCTAATTGTTTAGTGTTTACATTTTTTAACTACGTTATTGAGATATGATTGACACATAAAAAGCTGTCCATATTTAATATATACAACTTAATGAGTTTGGAGATAAGTATATACCCATGAAACCATCAATTTACACCATAAACATATCCATCACCATCAAAGTTTTCTCCTGCCCTCTTTATTCTTATTCCTCTTCTTTCATTCTTTCTTTAGTGATAAGAACACTTAACCTAACATCCACCCTTTTGGCAAATTCTCAGTTATATGACAGTACCTCAAAAAGTTCATGGAAAGATTTGTATTATCTTTTAATTCTATTTTTCCTTGAACTTTTTGATGTACTCTTGTATAATACAGTATTAGCTATAGGTACTATGCTGTACAGTTCTCTAGGATTTATCTTGTATAACTGGAATTTTGTATCCTTTGACTAATACTTCCCCATTTCCATTTCCCTCCAGCTGCTGAAAACCAACATTCTACTGTCTATTTCTATGAGTGACTATTTTAGATTCCTCATATAAGTGGTATTATGTAGTATTTTTCTTTCTGCATTTGGCTTATTACACTTAGCATGATGTCCTCCAGGTTCATCCATGTTGTCTCAAATGGCAAGATTTTCTTCTTTCTTAAGGCTGGATAATGTTCTGTTTTATGTATAACTATATTTTCTTTATTTATTCATTCATTAATGGACATTTAGGTTGCTTCCATGCCTTGACTATTGTGAATACTGCTGCAGTGAACATGGACATGCAGCTATCTCTTTTGAGATCCTGATTTCAATTCCTTTTCATATATATTGATATAGTTTGGAAATGTTTGTCCCTCCAAAGCTCATATTGAAATCTGATGTGGAATGTTGGGAGGTAGAGCCTAGTGGGAGGTGTTTGGATCATAGGGGCAGATCCTTCATGAGTAGATTAATGGATTTGTTCCTGAGAGAGCAAATTGTTAAAAAGAGCCTGGCACCTCCCCTCCCTCTTTTGCTTCTTCTCTCACCATGTGATCTCTACACTTTCCACCATGAGTAGAAGCAGCCTGAGGCTCCTGCCAGATGCAGCTGTTCCAGAATTGTGGGCCAAATAAACCTCTTTTCTTCATGAATTACTCAGTTTCAGGGATTCTGTTACAGCAGCACAAAAACAGACTAATATGTGCACCCAGAAGTAGGATTGCTGGATCATATGGTAGTTTTATTTTTTTTAATGTTATCTATTTATTAATTTATTGAAACATATTGATTGTATATATTTATGGGGTACAGAGTTATATTTCAATACATGTATACACTGTGTGATGATCAAATCAGGGTAATTAGCATATTCATCATTGCAAAACTTAACAATTTCTTCGTGATGGGCACATTTGATTTCCTTTCTTCCAGTCATTTGGTAACATGTAGTAAATAATTTTTAATTATAGATTCCTGTGTAGACTGTACACCAGTAGGACTTATTTTTTCTATCTAGCTCTAATTTTGTGTCCATTAACCAGCCTCTCATTATCTTCCCTCCCACCTCCCATTTCCTGCCTCTAGAACCACAGTTGTTCTCTCTCCTTTTAGCAGTTCAACTTATTATTATTATAATTATTTTTGTTTTGTTTTGTTCTGTTTTTAGCTCTCACATATTAGTGAGAGCATGTATTTCTCTTTCTGTGCCTGGCTTATTTCATGTAGCATAATTTTCTCCAAGCTCATCCATATTGCTACGAATGGCAGAATTTCATTCTTTTTTTATGGCCAAGTAATATTCCATTGTGTATATGTATCACATTTTCTTTATCCAGTAATCTGTCAATGGACATGGTAGTTCTATTTTTAATATTTTCAGAACCTCCATAACTGTATTCCGTGTTGGCTTCATCAATTAATGTTCTTACCAACAGTGTTGAAGGGTTCCCTTTCTCCATATTCACACCAACACTTTTTTGTCTTTTTTTGTTTTTTGGTAATAGCCATCCTGACAGTTGTCACATGACATCACATTGTGGTTTTGGTTTGCATTTCCCTGGTGATTGATGATGTTGACTTTTTTATGTACCTGTTGGCCATTTGTATGTCTTTTTTGCAGAAAATGTCTATTCAGTTCCTTGGGCCATTTTTAAATCAGGTTATTTGTTTTTTTGCTGTTGAGTTGTAGGAGTTCTGTATATACTTTGAATATTGACCCTTTATCAGATATATAGTTTGCAAATATTTTCTACCATTCCATATATTGGTTGCCTTTCATTTTGTTGTTTGTTTCCTTTGCTGTGCGTAAACTTTTTAGTTTGATGTAATCTCATTTGTCTATTTTCCTTTTGTTACCTTTGTCAGTCTCTAAAATTTGCATATTTTTGTAATGATTACACTGGTATGCTTAAAGCCTTGCTTTTCCAAGTTTTTTGCTCACCTCCGAGAATAATTTTGAAAAACTGCATATCCTGCACACATTTATATGATTTCTAAAAAATTTTTGGTTAAACAGTAGTGAAGAATATACTACTAATATTTTAGAATGAAACTTCTATTAAATATATCATTGTATTAAATATATTCAGTGGCCTCTAAATACCTTATTGATTTGAGACCCACCCATACCCATTCAAAGACATATCAACAATTATACATTTTCATCATCCTGTTTTTCCTTGAATTCTTATTTCCACTACACTTCTTTTCCAGAATTTTATAATAATGGAGTATATTTGTGTTAAGTCTTTAGTTGATTACCTGTTACACTTCTTGGCAATAAAATATGTATATAAGTTTAAATTTTTTATTTCCTGTGAACATAATACTTAGCATTTAGACATTTCTATTGGATGGAATCATTACAGTTATTACCAGTACACAGTCAATCAAAATAATTCTATCTCAAATTTTGATTATATAGTTATTAACTTCAAAAAAGGCAACATGTTATTTGAAATACATAATTAGATGGTTAAAGCTCATTTTTTCCCAATTATTTTGTGGATAAATAACACTCAGTGGCATGAAATAGGTTTTGATATCAATTCTGCTCCTATTTTTCATCTTTATAAATGTAAGTACTAAGAAAACTTAAGTAGAAGGAATTCTGTTATAACACTTTTGGTTAATTCTTTGAACATCTTTAGAATTAAGTCCCCAAAACCATGATGATCTATCATCAAAAATTATTTTTAATGATCTATTAATTGGGAGTTCCATTAGTTAATCCCTACATTTTATTGAAGTCAAAGAATTAGAAACCACATTGCTTACAAAAGGATTTGCTAGCCAGCCATTAGTCATTACTTTCCATAATATTGCTACCATTATTTTCCAGTGACTCCTTGTTTGTTGCCCTAGAATTTTTTTTTTTTCACCCTTGGCAGTGTGCTATAGTAAGGTTCTATATAGGTGAATGGTAGCTCTTTTTTTGTCAGGGAGGAGAAGAGTGGGTGAGAACAAGAATTGGCTTGACACTGGGGCATGCTCAGGCAGATCAGTTTTTAGAAAGCTTTGGAATTTTGTGAATCTAGAAATCGAATCCCTTACATGTATTGCTTTTTATTGATTAATTGACATACTTCACTTATCCTTACCTAAGACTCTGAATTTAATTAATGGAATCAATGATTACTTTCCAAAGTATGCAGCATAGCATAGTCATAGGATTTTAGAATTAGCCTACACACAGTTTCAACTAATTGTTTATGGGATTTAACACAGACAAAATTGAAATTCAGAAGAGAAAGAAACCATCTTTTAATGAAATTAGTTCTTATGGTCTTTCTCCTTCAATGGACTGTGAGTCCCTTGAACTCAAGGACCATGTCTTATTGTCCTTTTTTATTAAGACATTCTAACACAATGCCTGGCAAGTAGGAGCAACTCATTAAATCTTTATTGTGTTTATAAATGTGTGCTATTTATATTTGTTTATAAGTCTTCTTGAATTGCTGAATAAATTTTCTCTAGATTTCACTCCACCCTTGGCCCCTCCCCCAAAAAGTAATAGTTCAAAAGAAGAATTTATGTCTAGCTTTTATTGTTTTGATTACTTGGTGGGGACATATGTAGGAATGATTTTTAAAATTTTTCCTAGAAAAAACATGTTTTGTATTTAGGTTGTAAATAAAATACTTTATATTTCTATTTTGGCAGACTGGGAGCAAATGTTTAAAAAATTTATCAGATATGTTTGTTGGGAGTTAAACAAATATTTATGGTAGCCTCATATTATATTCTAGTAATTATCTTCATCATTATTATCATAAGCAATACTGATCATTGCTAGTAGTTTTGAATGCTCATCATTTATCAGGCATGTTGTAAGTGCTTTACATGCATTAACTTTTTAAATTCTCTCAACAGTTTAATGAGGTGAGTACAGCTGTTGTCCCCATTTTATAAATAAGGAACTGAAGCACAGAGAGATCATACTAACTAGTAAATAGAAAAGCTAGTGTTTGAACACAGGGAATATGACTTCAAAATCTGTGCTCTTGGGGCCGGCCCGGTGGCGCACTGCTATAGTGCGCCGCTTGGGAAGTGCGGCGGCGCTCCCGCCGAGGGTTCGGATCCCACATACAGACCGGTTCCCGCTCAATGGCTGAGCGAGGCGCGGGAGCAGCACCGAGGGTTGTGATCCCGTTGCCGGTCCCCGGTCTGGTACGGGGGCAACACTGAGGGTTGCGATCCGTTGCCGGACACGGAAAAAGACAAAAAAAAAAAAAGAAAGTAAAGGGCTGTGATTTCATTTTGCCCATAAGAGACATTATATTATAGTCTCACTGGGAAATATTGACAGCTTCGTATTTATTGGCATGCTGTATACTGAGTAAAGGTAGATGTGTTTTTGTTTGTTCAGTAATGTAAGCAGTAATGGGCAGAGGTGGGGTAGAGAGTGGGTAGATAGGTTAGAGAGTGGGGACTGTTCCTCATGGCAATTTGGGGGTCCAGGCTTCTTCCATCTGTGAGATTCTCAACTGCTGGAATCCTCCACTGGATTCTTTGTATCAAGCTGGAGGGAGAACACATAAGAGATCATATTGGACATTCATATGAGTCTGGAAGTGGTTTACATCTCATATTTCTTTGTTCACAGCTCAGTCACATAGCACCACCAAACTCAAGGGAGCTTAAGAAATGCAGTTTAGTTGTATAACCAAGAGGAAAAAGAAATGGGTTTGGTAAGCAACTAGCTAGTCTCTGCCACAAATTACAAATTGTATATATCCAGGAGGATGTTTAGATTTTACGTAGGTGGGAGTTATGTTGCCTTATATAACTATTATATTAGTATAGCAGAATATGTCTTTCAAAATAATTATGTCGAAAATGACTGTCTTTATGTTGACTTTCTACCTATAGATAAAAATCTGGTGCCTTGATCAGGGGCTAAATTTTTAAAACAGTTACACTTTTGATTATCAGCAGGATTTTCAGGGTAGTTGCATCTTACTTCCCACACAGCAGTACTATATCTAGACTGAAAATATTGTGCAGACTTATGCTTTTATATTTCTTTGTTACATTATTGCAGAGCATTGTTACAGTGCTATGTCAAAGCTGTAGTGATATGGGTATGTTAGCCTTTTGGTGGTGTGGGCCTTTGGTGGTTCTCGACCCAATGATTACAGGAAGACTTTTTGTTAGTTGCGATTAGAAAGCTTGTCAGTACTTCTGATGATCCCTTTAAACAAATATTGCTCTTTTGCCTGCTAATCTGTATTTTCTGCTTTAATGTTAAAGCTGTTTATTCATCTTCAGTGTATTTAAGTATAGAAATTGCAGTTTTTTGGGGTTTTTTTGACTGGTAAGGGGATCGAAACCCTCGGCATGGTGTGGTCTGCACCACGCTCAGCCAGTAAGCACACCGGCCATCCCTATACAGGATCCGAACCGGCGGCCTCGGCGCTCCCAGCGCCTCACTCTCCCAAGTGAGCCATGGGCTCGGCCCAGAAATTGCAGTTTTTTAAAAAAATCTTTTCATCATAAAGGCAAAATGAAAAAAAAAAGATTTTTTTATCTGTTCTACATGCAAAGTTTGCCACATTCATCTAGATGCTATTGTAAAACTACTGTTTGCCATAGCCACATTATCCCGGATTCTGTCCTGCCTTCATTTCTTGGACGTCTTATAACATCAAGCAATACGTTTGGTTTTCTCCGGATTTTCCAATTGTAAAAGTATTAGAAGATATTTTGTGAATATTAGAAGACTTTCACAATGTTTTTAATTTTCTGTGATTTTTACTTTTTAAAACAAAATATCCAAAATACTTGGTAGCCTTGATATATTTTGGAATTGCTTCCACTAAATTTCACTCAGTTGCTTTATTAAATTTTAAAAATGATTTCGTAGTTCTGATGTGGCTACATAGTCATGCATCCTTCATGATACATTTGAATGAGAATGACTCTGAATTGCAAAAATTTGAATCAGGAATTGAAGTCATATTTTAAAATAATTTAACTTAATTCTCTATAGATGGTCCCTCCTTCAAAGAAACAGCAGGACCCAGCAGACAGATTTTACAAGGTACGACAAGCAATTTGTATGTTTCTCAGTTTTATGAAACTGGTTTCATAGTTTTGAGTTGTCTGAAGTTTTCCTTTAAGAAAAATACATGACATAGTATTTATGTTTAAAATGTTAGCCTTCCTAGTGATTATTTTATATAAACTATTAGGTATATTAGCAGACATTTTTTCTTTTAATTGTCACTTGACTGTTTTCTCCAATTTAATAAGAAAAGCAAAATGTTCAAAAACTGTACTGCTTAAATATAAGTAATACCCATGATTATGACTACGGGAGGACTGTAGTAGTATGTTTGCCTTTGTAGGATTATTACATACTTTCTGCAAGAATAACATTCAATATGTTTTTATGTTGTGGGAAAATTTAGAGCTAAACATGTAATGCATAGTGAGACCTTCATCATATTTATAGGTCTCAATTGAGGATACCTAGTCACGAGCTTACATGTCATGTGAAATGATATATTACAAAGTTTTACTAGAGAGAAAATCAGTCTTGTTTATGAACTATGGTAATTTCCTTTTTGGGGGATGTGAATCAGTCTTTGGCTCCAAGTTTCCATTTGGACTTTATTGTCAAGGTTTCCTAATTCCCAGCTCCCTGTTTTCCTGCCTTTATTAACTTCAATCTGACTTTCCCAATAGCTTCTGATCCAATCTCTACTGCACCTATTTCTCTCCACTATTTCTTGATATAACTTTTGCTTTTTGTTTCATTATGAATATATTCTTTCATACTGAAGAATTTATTTTCTTCAGAAGGCTTAAATATATCTTTTAGTCATTAGTTTTTCACTTAAAATATTCTAGAATTATTTTAGAACATTTGCTGATATAGCTTGTAATATGCATATTTGACGCTTCTATAACAGATGCTCTAAATATGCCTTGATAATAAGAATTTATTTTTTTGTTTTGAAAATTATCACAAGTTGGAGGAAAGGAAGTTAGATTTGCCTTCCCAATTATCTTTTATATAAGCTATTATGAAAAAAGTAGATATATGCTTTTTACAGATTAGCTGTTTCTTTTCATATAGAATAGTTGATGTTATTAAAGAAGGCATGGTTGAAGTTTCAGTGTTTTGCTATACAGCAAATTTTACTTATTAAACATCTGAATGTTGAATAATTTATTGTCTTAATCAAGTCTTTTAGAAAATATTGTATATGAAATTTACTTCTTGATGTTTTTAGTGGTTTTCCAGGCAAGTATCACTTATTAAATATTAATATTATGTATAGGTTCTTGGGCAGTTAGAATATCAGTATCCTACCAATTTAATTTTTTTTTTATTAGAAGATGACTGGTAAGGGGATCTTAACCCTTGACTTGGTGTTGTCAGCACCATGCTCACCCAATGAGCTAACGGGCCATCTCTATATGGGATCCGAACCCGTGGCCTTGGTGTTATCAGCACCGTACTCTCCCGAGTGAGCCATGGGTCGGCCCCTACCAATTTAATATTTAATTATTAAAAGTTCAACGTGTATTTTATATTTATTAAAAAATATTCAGATCCCTATATTCTTCACGTCAACTTTGAATGTAGTATGTAACTAATTCAGGTAACAAAATCTTTAGGATAATTAGTGAGTATATCAGGGTAGAGTTGTGGTTCATAGGAAGTTCTAGTCCCAAACGGCAATAATTTTAATCACCAGCAGAGGGCTCTGTGTGTACATATATTTGTAATTAACAATGTTTTCTTCACCAATTCTTTTAACCTAATGCAGTTTCCTTCCCCTAACAAATTATTAGTTAACTTTTGGACTCTGTTAGCCATAGATGAATGGTAAACAATTTTTGGAATCAGTTTGTTTATCTACATTTTTATTATACCATTAAGGGCAAATATAATTTTACAGTCATATTTTAACCCTTGTTGATGAAAAAGAAAAGATTATTTCAGTTCATAAATGTAGTGTTACATAGTTACTAAACAGTGAATATACATGCGTACTGATTTTTCAAATTGATATTTAGTATTTTATATATGAAATTAAGAATATCATTCTAAGAAATATTTGTATTTTAACTTGATCAGAAGATATTATTTTGATTTTTATGATGCTTTATTTCTAGGTGTATTTTTACACATTCTAGCAGATACACTTGGGAGTATTGGTGTTATTGCCTCTGCCATCATGATGCAAAATTTTGGTTTGATGATAGCAGATCCTATCTGTTCGATCCTTATAGCCATGCTGATAGTTGTAAGGTAAGTGTTATGTTACTTTTAAGTATTAAAATGAGAGATAGGCATAAATATGCTACATAAATTACATATCTAAAATACAAATTATTATGTTGGTTTTCCTTTGATCTTTAAGAAATTCCTCCATAGATTCTCTTTTTGTTTTCATGTTTTTTTTCTGTGTTTGCCATTTATGCCTTGCCTAGAGTTTGATGTTTCTTTTGGGTATTTGGCAATTTTAAGCCTTTTGTTCATAATTTAAATCAATAGTAATTTTCTTGAATCCAACACTATATCTGTAGGGTAAAATATTGGAAATATAAAATTTACTAACTGTAATTAGAATATTATTCCCTCTCTCCCACCCTCTCCCCACCAACACACATACACACACACATGTATGTATCACAACTATTCATCCTTCAGTTCAGATTTAGTTGAAATGGCACTTCTTCAGGAAGCATTTCCTGATTCTTCACCTCCCAGGCTGGGTTAAGTATACTTATAGCACCTTCTATTACAGTACCCTTTCATGGCATTTACTTACTATATTGAAATAGCCTGTTTAATTGTCTCTCTCAGGCTCCATGAGGGCAAACTGTGTTTGTCCATTGTTTGGAAGTCAGAATCTAATTTTGCTTGTCAAAAAAGTTGTGCACTTTAAATTTGAATCAGAATAAATTCATGTTTCTTTCAACCTTAGAGAATTACTTTCTATGGGGAATTTTTACTTAGTTATGTTCTTATTCATTTATTTCACAAATATAGGTAAATACACAGACACACAGAAAACCTTTTTTTACGGAAATATAACATTTAAAAAACTGCACAAATCATCTTTAATACATATTAGGTAGACCCTCTTACCAGTGTGGTGAAAAAGACAAGATTCCCATTGTTTTGATCTTATATTATAAAGGGAGAAAGACAAGAAACAAATTAATAAATAAACGACTCAAATGTTAAATAGTTTGTATTGTTCAGAGGGTTAAGATAGGATTATGTGATAGTGACTCAGTTGCCAATTTAAATTAAGTGATAAAGGAAGACTTCTGAAGAGGGGCCTCTAAGCTGAATGTGAATGTCGCAAGAGAGCTTGTCACAGGAAAGCATTCTAATCTAGGGACCAGCTTGTATAAAAGCCCTATGGTCAAAACAACTTTGGCACTAAAAGGAGGCCAGTATGGCTGAAGCACAGGGAGTAAAAGGAAAGTAGTTTAAAATAAAGTTGGCGAATAGGCCTGGGAAAATTACCCGGGGTTAAGAGTTTAGATTTTATTCCAAGTGCAATGGGAAACATAAGGCAGTGACATCATTTGGTTTATATACATATATATGTGTGTGTGTATATTTGTTCTTTTTTTGGCAATTGGCCAGATCAGGGATATAAACCCTTAACCCTGGTGTTACAACACTACTCTAACCAACTGAGCTAATTGACCAGCCCAAAGGGAGGTTATTTTGTTTTTTGTTTTTCGTATTTTTTTTTTCCTTTTTGTCTTTTTTACTGACCGGTAACGGGATCGCAACCCTCGGTGTCGCGTCCGTACCAGGGACCGGTAACGGGATCGCAACCCTCGGTGTTGCGCCCGCACCGCCCTCAGGCAGTGAGCGGGAACCGGTCTCCACATGGGATCTGAACCCTCGGCGGGAGCGCCGCCGCACTCCCAAGCGGTGCACTCTCCAGTGCGCCACCGGGCCAGCCCTGTTTTTCGTATTTTTAAAAATCATTTTGGCTGCTGTTTGTGTGTAATGGATTATAAGGGGGTAGGAGTGCAAACTGGCAGACCATCTAGAAAGCTGTTATAATCAACCAAATGAGAGGCCATGGTGGCTTGGTCTAAGATGCTAATCTTGGAAATGGAGAGATGCAGATAAAGTTAGGAAATGCTTTGGGGGTGCAGCTAACATGCTTTGCTCATGGATATGAATATATGGGTCAGGGTTAACTGAAACGGGAATCAAGGGTAATTCCTAGATTTTTTTTATCTGGGCAACCAAGTGAATGAAGATGTTGCTGGAAGGGAAAAGAGTAATGTTTTTGTTTTTGAAAGGGACTACAGATTAAAAATTCTGTCTTGGTTTTTACGAGTTTGAGGTCTCACTAGAAATTTATATAGAAATTTCAGATAGGCATTTGAGTGTACAAATATGGAATTCTTGGGAGCAGTCAACCAAATATAAAGAATTGAAAATACTCCACGTACAGATTAAAGTCATGGAGTGGCATACATCTGGCATGATTGCCACCATCCCTACCCCTTCCATTTTCCTAGAAAATATCCCTCAATATGGTACTCCTTCCTGCTGAAACTGATCAAGTTTCAGGGTCCCTCTCAATATAGTGCTTCAAGAAGCTACAACTAGCTAACTACAGTTGACTTCCAAGATAAAACCTATTGGTCATTTATGTCTGGGTCCTACTGACCTATTTATAAAAACTTTTTCTGATAGTTTACATAAATACATAGTTTCAAGTCATATAATTGGATTCCTTTTCATTATTGTTAAGCTTTAACATTTTTATTGTTTGCTCTTTTTTCTGATAACCAAAGTAATACAGTGATTGTAAAAAACTCAAACTTTACGGAATGTTTAATTTATCTATTGAAATGTTCTCATAATCCCACCCCTTAGAGATAATAGAAAACTTTAATGTATCTTAAAATCATTCAACAAATACTTCAGTGCCCACTGTGTGCCGGGCAGTAAGCAACATAGGCAAATATTCTACCCTCATGGAGCTTACATTTTAATGGGAGAGATAGTCAGTAAAGCAAATGAATATGCAGATAGATCATATAATGTGAATTCATGACAAGTGCTATGAAGCAGAGTAAAGAGATGCTATTTTAGAAGGGCTTGGAAAGTCCTCTGCATAAAGTGACAGTTGAGCAGAAATCTGAGTTGTGAGGGAGAAGGGCATCGGACTGTTCAGAGGAAGAACATTCCTGGTAGAGGGAACTTAAAGTATAAACACACTGAGGCAGGAGCATTCCTGACATGTTTGAGGAGCAGCAAGAAGGGCACTGTAGCTAGAGTGCAATGAGCAGGGCAGAGAGTGGTAGGTGTGTGTGTGTGTGTGTGTGTGTGTGTGTGTAATTATATATCTAGAGTTCAGGGAACAGGTTGTGTAGGAGATATAACTTTGGGTGTCATCGGCTTACATGTGGTGTTTAAAGCCATGAGAGTGGTTGAGTTTGTCCAGAGAGTGGTACTGAGAGAGAAGAGATCTGAGGGCTGAGCCCTGGCGGAGGTGAGGAATAGGAAGCAACTGCAGCAAAGGAGTCAGGTGGAGCGGCCAGGGAGGTGGAGCAAAAACATGAGCACGCATCGTCTCAGAAGCTGGGTGGACAGTGTTTCACACAGGGAAGAACAGTCAGCCCTGTTGGGTGCTACTGGGACTGATCATTGTAACTTAGACCAGGCACTCAGAAGAGTGAGGAGAATGAAAGCCTGATCAGAGTAGCTTCTAAAGAAAATGGGAGAGGAGGAAGTGGAGATAGCAACTATAGTCAACTCCTTCAAAGCCTTTTGCTGTAAAAGAGAGCAGTGTGAGATTGCCTGGCAGCACTGAAGGGCCGCTTTGAAGTTTTTGGTCATGATTTTAAAGTGAAAACAATCAGTATAGTTCTATGTTTTTCTTTAGTCTTGTTCAGTTACTTGCTAAAATTTTGGAATAGACAGAGAATTGGATCTAACAGGTTTGAGGTTTTGTCAGGTTAGTACTGACAGTGAGAAAGGGGCAAGGCAGGGATTATTGTGATGGGAAAGTAAGCTTTAAAGGTAATGATCTTTTTAACCAAAAGAAAGTCTTTTTGTTAGGTACTAAAGATTTTTAAATAATATATTTATGTCTTGTCATATTGAAGAAAAAAAATACTCTAATCTTTAGAGGCAAACTAAGGTATAGGCTTTAGAAATAACACTTTGGTCATAAATAGAGGTAAGAAATGGAAAGAATAGGCACTAATGAAAACAAAATTATAAACTTGAAATTCTAAATTATAAGTGATTGTCATTGTTTATGAATACAGGATTTGGACCAGATACTGATTTTGATAAATCTTGTTGATTTTGTGGTTAAACAGATAATTATTTGTAGCTTATATTAAGTAAAAGGTAAGCATTTTTTAACATGTTGGAAGCTACTGTATCTTCAAATAGTCATATATCAGAAACTGTGGAGATTTTATTTTTTTCAAAAATGTTTCTGGGTGTTCCCTAACATTTTATTTGTGGTTTGCCTTTCAAGTGGTTAAAATTTATGAGGTGTACTTTTGGGGACTAAGATAAAGCAGTTTGCCAAGGTTTTAACTTGCTGCTTGTATGTGTATCCATATTTTAAAATTGAACATATGGGAACATTATTGTAAAGTGATTGTATTTTTTAATCATATATAAAACCATTAGAGAGAGACCATTTATAAATACTAATTAATCTAACAGCCTATCTCAACTGGCATTCTGGTAGAGAATGCCCTATTAGTTTGAAATGTCCATTTGTATGTAATTATTAAGTTCTCATCTATGCATTTAGAAAAGTACTGATTATGAACTATTCGTGGTGGAATTGAAAAATAGTCACTCAGATCATTTTGTTTGTTTGATGAGGTTCAGATGAGGAACTCTAGTAAGAAAGCCTGGAAGAGTGTCTTAGAAATATTGGAAGGAACAGAACAATTGCAGTAATGCTGAAAGGAATTTTGAACTTAAGAACCTAATTATGTAAGAATGTCATTTAACAAAAATTCAGTAGTTTTCATTGAACCACCTGCTTTGTCCCTGACTCTTATATTCTGAGGATAGAGTACCAGGTATTAATTCATTTCTCACAACCATCAATAAACCACCTATGAATATTTTAAAAAACAACTTACTTAAGCAAAGTCTCTACTCATTTCCTCCCCTCTGCCATTACTACGCACACACATACACATACATACACTCACACACTCAGTCACACTCATAAATTTGCCTTAATTGTCAGTGCTTGCAAAGGGTTGCAACTGCTAGTTTTAGGA